CCTGAAGCCCGAATCCCTCCAGAGCCCTCGAGCCGAAATTGGCTTTGAAAACCGATAGAAAGCTCTGAAGCCCCCAACTCCTCAAACCTCGAAGCCCGTAAAGGTAGTTCTCTAAGCTAAATAGTACGGCACCTTCACAAAAAGGGTTTTAAAGGGACCCCAGTGGACAAACTCCGAACCCCACGCCCTGAAGCCTAAACTGCAGTTTTCGTGCATGCACAGGAGTGTATGGAGACAGGGTTGCCTAGAGGTTTGGAGGTGGCCCCTTGTTTGGGATTCTGCTTCAGTCCATGCCCCCTGCCAGTCTCAGTAACCTTCCAAGGAATGATCATTCACACGAAGGAGGTTGGGCGCCGTGCTATGGTCAGAAGGGGCTCATCTGACACTACCTACACTCCCCAAAGTAGGTAAAATAATGGCCCAAAGCCTATAAAAGGCTATCATTCTACATACTTTTGGGGTCCAGGCAACACCAATCCTACAGGTTCCTTAGTGTAAGCAGAGCATCGTGGACGGCCCAGGCCCTACCGGTATCACAAAAACTCACCAAAAACACTCAAAAGGTCCCTATTTCTAAGCTCCCTAAAACCCGACTCTAATGATGAAGGCCCTTGTATGGGAGTTTCCGAAAATTAGGGTACCTTATTTTGGGGTCCTTATAATAAGGATCCTACTATTTCAGGTACCATGTTAGGGTCCCCTATTTTCGGAAACTCCCGTATCAGGCCCTTTGACTTCCCTGCCTTTTTTTTTCAGCTTGGGGTTTAGGGCTTCGCCGAAGCTCGTAGCTTAGGGGCTTGGGGGGGCCAGAGGGAGGAAGTAGGCACCGGGGCCGGAGCCTGAGAGGGTTGTACTTGGAGGTTCATAGGGGGTTATAGGTGTGGTTATAAGTCCCGTAATATGGGTTATAACCATAGCTATCCTACTTAAAAGCCTACTTATGACTAACCATGAGCCTCCAAGTAGGATTAGTCTTTCTGGTTTGGGAGATCAAGGCTCCCGCCTTTTCGGCTTAGCCTTCGTTTTTTTTTAATTTCGCCCTCTGCTGGCCAGGCCTGTGATGCTGAGAAGGGAACCGAGTGGCACAACGGAAAGCTCCTGGGTCCGCATTACTTAGGGGTACTAAGTTTTTTTTAAAACTTTTTTGGTTAGTATCATCCCTAAGAAACAGCTAAAATTATAATTCTAGCCCCTGAACTTGAAAGCCTTGCCCAGAGAGCCCAATACCCCTGAATTATCGAATGTAGCTGAAATCAGAATATGACCCCCCCCCTTATAGTTTAAGGTATATTCCTTAATTACGGGGTATTGGGCTCTCTGGGTGAATCCCGAATCCTAAGCAGTATCTCGCTGCGAGGAAGTGTCTTGAGGTTTCTTGTGGCCGAAGCTCTTGTTAATTATGATCCTCTTTCAAACGTCCTTACGAAGCCTTACATCTCCCTTCAAAGGGGCCCATATAGCCCCCTGAGTGATCTTTAGATTTTCAGAAGCCCCATCCAAAAAACCCTAGAGACCCGCGGGGTTGGCTTTGCGGGGGGTTACAACACGCAAAAGCATGGTTAGCATAGGGACCTTAGTTTTCATCATTCGAGCAGGATCTTCGAGGGTATGTCGGTGCACATTTTTTGGTGCGGCAATGATATTAACAGGGCCTTCGTGGGTTATTGTCTTTTTGTATGAATTTACATAGGAACCAACTGCGGCCAGTTGGTGCAGTTTCGTCTGACCGGACAGAGCCGAGGTTTTCGTTACAAAAGTCACCCCGCGAGTAGCACAGAGTCGTTCTGTCTTCGGCTTCACTATTCACCAAGAACCACAGCCCATGAAGCGCCCCTTGTAGCAGCCCTTGCCCTTGCAAGAACCCACAACAATTCTCCTGAAAGCAACCCTTATCGTAATAACAGCCCTTCATCGAGGTTGTTCCAAAACCCTGGACCCTTTCGACCCTAACCCCTGAATCCTGTGCGCCCGAAGCCTTAAACCCGAAGCCAAAGCCATAAGTCGGGATCGCAAACCGCTAAAACCTTGAATGCATCAAAATGCCTCAAGATCTCGACGTTCCGAAAGGTGCGTGGTGTCGGGCGAGAGCACAAGTCCCGACACGTGCCTTCTGTAGCACGTAGAGGGTTTTTGCATTTCAATTTTTGAGGATGATTTGCCACCGTGTGGGGGTGGCCAATGTCGGTACTGTATGTTTTCTTGTCAAAATGAAGAGAGCGTCGACCTTTCTTTCGCTGAGAATGCCGACGTTTTGTGCAGTGGGTGGCCAATTTCAGGGTTTTCGGCGGTTCTCGCCAGCGGCTTCGGGTTTGGGGCCCAGGCCAGAGGAGGTTGCAGCTTTGGTTAGTATGGGGGCCCCAATAATTAGAATAGGGTTTGGAGGTATAGTATACTACAATTGCAGCCAATCACAACCCTACGCTAGCGACTCTAGCTATGAAGGCCTTTGCAGCATGGCGCCGGAGGAATACATTGATGGAGTCGAGATAACCTGTTCCACGCATGTAGTCGTTTGCGTCAGTTCACAGAACAAGGGACTCTCATGCAGACCCTAGGTCAAGATCCGTATTCATTACAGGGACCCCTCATAGCAGCCTGTAATTTTCAGAACTGCACCATTCTCTGAAGCCCCAAAGCCCTATGACCCTATATCCCTCTACCCTGTCACCCTCAACCCAAAATCCCTCTACACCTTTACCGTATAGAGCCCTCCAAAGCCTGCAACAACCATAGAGATAAACGGGGCGGCCCATAGGTTTACGATGAAGGCCTACGAAGATTCCTATGCAGCCCTGAGCAAAGCCACATGTAGCCTAAGATCCGAACCGGGATGCTAAACAGACTCTCAAAGAGGCTTTCAAAGCCTCATAGGGCATCAGACATCATGAAGCCCTATAGGGCGCCCTAAGACCCTAAACCCTAAACCCTAAACCCTAAAAAAAAACCCTAAACCCAAGCGCTGAAAGGCCTCAGGAGGTGGCAGCGATGAAGGCCGTGAACGATGCACAGGAGGAGTTCAACGCTGCTCGGCAAGCAGCAGGGGAGCAATCGACTTGAGATTGAAAACATAGTAGCTGAGTGGATGCACTTTACACTTTTTAAGTTGGGATAATACTACCCACTATAAAACTAAAAGTGTGCACGTTTTGGAGGCTTATGAACTCAGCAGCTAAGAAAATAAATTACACAACAGGGATCCGTGATATGATTGTATTAAATCCTGATACCTGAACCACCCTGAACCCATCCTAAACCCTGTGCTTTAGGAGACGGGGGATAGGAGTAGCTGATAGCAAACTCAAGCCGAGTCCTACCTGTGCCATCCCAGTTCTTCGTTGCTGGCTGTTCATGTGTTGTTTCCTGCACATATGCATGTGTACATAGCGAAAACTATTGAAGAAACCAGAAGTGAAGAAAGATACAACGCTAAATAAGCAAATCATTAAAGGGATGGGTACATGCACAAATTACATTGGTGTACTTATAATAAACAAATGACAAGTGACAACTGCATGAGTAAAGCAAATAGGTGAACAATTAACTACCTACATAATATACTCAAATAACTAAAAAGCGAATGAAACAAAAGAGTGAACAGTGTGTGTGTGTGTGTGTATATATATACATATGTACATTTCGTACTTAGTAACTAGATATGAACAGCTAAACATATAGATATACATATCTACACACACACATATATATATATATATACATAAATGTCTGTGTGTGTGTTTTTGTGTGCGTGCAGTTTTCAAGCAAGCATGTGGCTGCTGTTGTTCATAGACACATTTGTGCACACCTGCCTACTAACGCACAAATGCACAGGTTTATGCAACAATATTTGCATGCACATAGACCTCGGATAGATTGCTTACACTATGTGTGTACGTGTATGTACACATGATATTTGGGCCAAAGACTTTCCGTGCCTTGCCTGCCTGTTTTCATGGAGTGGATGTCATAGCTGCATTTGCTTACGTAGCTTTGAGAGGAGACTTTGTTCCAACCCTGAACCCTTAGCCCTAAAACCTGAACTCGAAGCCCTGAGCCGTGAGGCCTCAGCCCTCCCTTTCTCGCCCAAGGCCGCCAAGCAAGTGGTGCACGACAAGAACCACATCTTCAAGGCTGCGGCGCACTCTATCTTTCCATGCCGTACTCCGTGCCGTGCTGCTGTGCAGAGTATGGTTCTGTCGGGATAGCACTTCCCCGACTCTTCATACCTTGCGCGAACACAACGCCCAAAAGCAGGCTCATGGCTGGTACGTTGAACTTGGGTACCCAAGATGTCCGGTAAATATCCTTCATTGATATGCTTCTTTATTCGTCATGGTCTAGGTCCAAGCGATTATACAACAATCTTGTTATTCTGGGTCTAGGGGGTGTTTGCAGAGCCGCGCCCAGTGAGCGAAGCAAGCTCCAAACCCTGAAACTGTCAAAGCTACTGGAAAGATCCTTAACCTCTAAACCCCTAAGCCCTAAACCCTAAACCTTAAACCCATTATTCAAACCCCTCTAAACCCTTAAGCCCTAAACCCTAAACCCATCGTTAGACAGTTTTGCAGTCGCCTTCCATTTTGTTGCGAGGAGAAGCAGCATAAGCTGAACAAAGCCAAGATCGAGCTGTGTCTCGCCAGAGATAGTCGGTCGCTTCAACACCCCATACTACATCATCTTACATTCCATGGTATACTTGCATTATATTCTACTATGTTATACTGTAGTATATTAATACTATAGTATATGATATTACACGGAGTTCTTTTGGTGTGAGTTGTTGCTGTGAAGAAAGGGTTTCTCATCCTGTGGCCGGGTTCGTGGAGTTCCTTCTGACTTTGCCATGCGCGTATGAAGGCAGGACCCCCAAGCATCCGAGAAGGCGTAAACGATGATAGCAGAATGCAAAGGCTGCTGTTCAGATGGGGGAGGCGCGATGCAGCGGCCCTTGCCGGCAGCGTTTTGGCTTTTCCCGCAGCTCTGCTTGCTGACCTCGCATCGCAATGGCGCCTCGCAGCCTTGCTTTGGCTCTTCCGGCCGCCGGCCTGGCCTCCGCCCCAGCAATGCCTCAGCAGAGAAATGGAATGAGAAATGACGTGATAGCGGCAGTCCTTCGCTCTTCGCTGTGCAGGTGGCTGCCCCGCTCTTCGTGCCCGGCGCCACGCCGAGCGCCCCAGCACCCCGCGCGGCTCCGCATGCCGCAGAGGCGCCAAGTGCCAGCAGCAGCGGCCTCTCCGCGCTGACCGTCGGCACCGTGGCGAGCGCAGGCGGCAGAGCAAGAGGGAGAAAGAGAGAGAGAGAGAGCATGACACGGGAGAGCAGAAGAAAGATAAGCAAGAAGGGAGAGACAGCGAGTTTGATCGACATGAGCCATGATGGAGCGAGCGCAGCTTGCAAAGGAGCGGGCTAGAGGGTAAACTAGCTGGTGCTCGCGAGGCGTGTTGGTGGCGGCACTGTCGCGCTCCTCCGTCCCGCGGCAGCAGCGAAGCACAGCAGTTCAATCGGGCGAAGCAGCTGCTTCAGACATCTCGCGTCGATCGTCCAATTGTCCAGGATAGCGTGCGCGTGTGAGGTCAGGTCCTCTCAGCCCCGCGTGGCCCGGAAGTTCTTCGGCGGTGAGAGCACTTCTTACGCCAGCTTCGACCCCGCCACGGAGCCGTGGCAGACTGTAATGCAGCCGGCATGTTCTGCCAGTGTCAGTTGATGCATAGATGCATGGACTATTCTTGTGGTTGTGGTATCACATGGTATCACGATCGCGGAAGGGAATGGGTGTGGCTGCGGCAGGAGATGGGTGTGCAAGATCCTGTGGGATTTTGGGATCCCCTCGGTCTTAGCGCAGACAAGGACCAGGCCGACATCATGAAGGGAAGTGTAGCATGTTTACCCTCGCACGCTTGAATCATCTAGAATCATATCGCGCACTACAAGTCCTCCGAGTCGCTCGTCGTTCTTTCAGACTTGGCCAGGCCACCTTCAAGCGCCGCCGCGCCGTGGAGATCAAGCACGGCCGCATCGCCATGCGACTCGGCCAGGTGTCATGCGATGTGATGTTGAGCATTTATTCCAGAGTAGCAGCTGCTGTCGCGCGTTGCTGGTGCCGATTTGTGGCAGCTCATGGCCGAGGTATGCGACCATTGGATATATCGTTCCTGAGTACTTCCGATTCCCAGGCTGCTCGGCAACATGTTTTGTTGTCATGCGTGGTCGCTGACCGGTTGTGTTCTTCGGTATGATGTGTGTGTCAAGTTCTTGCGAGCCTCAGGCTACTTGTCGCCCTCCTTGGGCCTGAAGTTCTCGGCCTTTTGGACGCATTGGAGTGTGGTGTTAAGGGGATGCAGAACCGGCAGAAAGAGAGACTGCAGTGTGGTGCTGTGCATGCTTCACAGCATCTTGGAGTGCCAGGACATGCCCAACGGTCTTGCAGCCCTTTCGAAGCTACCCGTGCTCGGTGGTGCGCAGATCATCGCTTTCGCCGGGCTCATTGAGACCACAGGCATCAAAACGTCGGGTTGGTTTGTGTTGGGTTTCGTGTTCTGCAAAGCCTTGAACAGGCTTCTTCCAGGCAGCTTCCACCACCGATGGCCGTGGTCCTCGCGAGGGCCAGTTCTCCATGAAGGACTCCACCGAGCAACTCAGCCGCATCGGAGGGCGTTAGGCCCTGGACCGGGAGCTTTCCGTATCGCTGCAGCATTGCATAGCGTTGCGGCCGATTTTGCATTGAAACTTTCGAAACTTCTACTCGTGAGTATGCCCTTCGTCTGTCTTTTGTGCGTCGTTGGTTGGCTCTTGTAGGGCGGCCGGGGGGATGGATGCGCGTCGCTGCGCGCAGGAGTGGCGAGCCGGGCAACTACGGCGTCGGCTTCCCCAACTTTGTGGGCAAAGTGGAGGACCGTCAGCATCCTAGCAAGCTCGCGCGCTGGTGTTGGGGCCCTGGCAGCTTGTCAATTGGTTGATTGCCCGTACCAGTGTTGTTGTTACTACTATGTCGATTGTCGTCATTATTGCTGGTGTTTGCAACTATTGTCATGATTATTGGTACTTGCTTTTACTTGTATTGGTATCATTGTTATCACGATGATGATTGTCTTTGTAACTATTGTTGTTGTCGCTATCACTACTGTTATCATTGCTGTTGTGAGTACTGTTATCGTTGGATAGTATATTATATGTCTGGTTATCCTTCTAGCCATTGTTGCCACTCTTTTTGTTATCAGTATCCTTTGCTAATTTCGACAAGTATGATCATGCACTTTTTACCAGCATCATCAGATCCTCCTTCAGTTAAGTCAAGCCTGTATGGCTGTTGATCAGCACTCATCACTCCTCGTTTTAAGACTTATTGGAGTCATTGTTTGTAGTCGTCATACTCACCACAATGCATTCATTAATGTCATGGTTTGCCTCACTCCTGTCTGTTGCCTTGGGTGAGTGCACATGAAGTCGATAGCAATCGTTAGGAGTGAGACTGGCATCGTCACCGGTTTCAACCAGCACTGTATGTCGTGCACGCGAACCATGTATCCAATGGCAGACGTTAGTGCGCTTCACTTGTGTGGCGTCGGGTCTTCACGGCTTGGCCTGTACCTCACCCTCGCTGCTTCTCCATCCGTCATGTGTCGATCCTTGGATGCTCTGCTGCCGACGACCGCAGGACCCGGAGGAGCGCAAAAAGAAGCTCGCAGCAGAGCTTGCGAACGGGCGTCTGGCGATGATGGCCATCATCGGCCGCCTGTCGAGATATCACGGTGACATCAGTGATGTCGGAAAGCTGAAAGATCTTTTCGCACCAAGGCATGTTCTTCCAAGATGGTCTCACCGGCTCCGCGTGGGGAGACTGGAGCCTGTACACCGCCTCGCCCTTGAGAGCTGAGCCCGTCTCTGCTGCTGCGGCAGCGGCTGCTGCCAAGGCTAGCCGTACTCACAAAGCCAGGAAGCTACAGTAGGTGAAACTGTAACTGAAGGCAGCTGAAGCTAGATGAAGGAGTAGCATGCGTACTGGTAGGATGTCGTGCAAGGCGGCCGCCGCCGCCAAGGGCGCCACAGCGACCACTTCGGCTGTGGCCGGCACTGCTGGTGCTGGCTCCCTCTCCAAGGGCGAGGGTGTGGTTGGCAAGAAGGGCCCCAGCCCATCTTTCGACCCATCCACGCAAATCGGAGCCATGGCTCCGCTTGGCTTCTTCGACCCCGCAGGGTTTGCCAAGAAGGGCGACGAGGACGGCTTCCGCACCCTGCGTGCCGCCGAGATCAAGCACGGCCGTGCCCGAGACCGAAGCAGTCAGACACGTCGCCTTTTCTCTTAAGGGGGCTGGTGTTGCAGTAGGCATTGCGCATAAAGTCATAGTTCATAGTTGGCAGGTGCATGTCAAGGACCTGTGTGAGGACTGTGAGCACCGAGGTGTTGCGATGATGGCAGCGCTGGGTGCCGTGGTGCAGCACTACGTGAAGTTCCCGGGCTTTGACTCCGTGCCCACCGGCCTGGCCGCGTCCATCACCGCTCCCGGCAGCTACGGCTTCGTGGCGCTCTTCGCCGTGGCGGGTATCTTGGAGCTCGGTGCCTGGACCGAGAGCCCCGACAAGGAGCCAGCGAGATCTCGTTGCGTGGCATGCTGCCGGTCGCACAAAAAACACAAGAACAAACAAATAAACCATTAAAAACCTGATCAGGAGCCGGGCAACTTCGGCGACCCGGTTGGCTTCAACCAGTACAACCAGGACGTCCCCGTGCAAAGCCAGTCACAGCATGTCACACATTTCGCTGATTTTTCAGGTAGGTCCTGTGTTGTGTGTGCAGAAGAGCTGCTGCTTTAGATGCAGGCCTTCTAGACTAGCACTAGACCTAGAGGCCATGTATCGCGTGTCAACAGGAGATGCGTGAGCGGGAGATCAACAACGGCCGCTTTGCCATGTTTGCAGCCATCGGCATCATCGCCGCCGAGTTGTACACCGGCAAGGATGCCATCGAGCAGTTCGGCCTCTGAGCACCGGAGTGTGCCCTCTTATCGCTTAACCGTACAGCAGCAGTTTTCTATAGCCTTCTTTAGGACTAGTCATTTTCAGCCGCCGGTACAATGCTTGTACGGTTGGCTCACAGCGGCTTGACCGCCCCCAGTTCGTTGTCGCCAAAAGTGCGAGTGGCATACACGCTGCCACCCAGACCTGCAGGCGAACTTGCCGTCCCAATCTTGAGGGCGTCAATGGATCAAGGGTGACACTGACGGGACCTTGCAGCTTCGATGCGATCTGTCTCCGATGACGTGCAGTTGTCAGCTGACAAGCTGCTTTATCCTTTGCCCTCTGCCCCCTCCACCAGGAAGAAACTCCAAACCCTCAAATTGCGAAAGAACCTCCAAACCGGTGCAAAGCCCCAAACCCTGAGCCCTAAATCCTACACCCCTAAACCCCCAACTAGACCCTAAACCCCCAAAACCCTAAACCCCTAAACTACCCCTAAATTACCCCTAAACCCCTAAACCCCTAACTAGACCCCAAAGCTACCTCCAAACCCCCAGAACCCCCAGAACGGGCCGAGGGAGTCCTACCGGAACCATCACCCTCCGGAGAGCATCTTCGCCTCGGCGACCCCGGAGGGGCGGGATCCCAGGGGGGGGGGGGGGAGCGGGGTGATTCAGTTTAGGGTTCAGGTTTTAGGGTTTGGGGTTTGTCAGGCTTTGGGGGCCTTGATTCCCCCCAAACCCTACCAAGGGTTATTACTTCTTCACAGACGTAAGTCCTTAATTTCTTCGTCAATGTTGCTATATAATACGAACCCCAGGGATTGCATGTGTACATGTCTCTCTCTGTCTCTCTATATATATGTATATGTCGATGTAATATACATATACATATATATATATATATATATACATATGGTATATAGCATATATACTAAGTATATACATGTATATGTATATAATTATATATATATATAATTATATATATATATATATATATATAGATAGATAGATAGGTGCATATGTAATAGTCGGTGCATTGTCAGGCATAGAATAGTCCTGGCTGGCATACTTGATGTTCACTTCCATGTTCAACTGCATTCTGACTACCAAAAGAATCTTTTGTGCTGATCTGTGCTGCCATCAGCATAGCTTGCACGACACGTGCTATGGTCACTACCCACCCCCCCGGCCCGCCCACGGATCCCGGATGCACGAGGAAACGGCGCTGCGGCAAAAGTTTGATGCCGTCAAGGTCCCGCCGGAATAGGGGTGTGTCACATGTTGAAAATGCGAGTCGGGTCGTTGCCAGGGCGTCACAGCATTGCGGAGATTGGTAGGAGTCATGACACTTCATCTTCTCCAGCCATATTTTTGTACGTTGAGACTGTTCCATGTCCATGTGGCTTGCAGCTTTGTCGATTTCTTAGGCTCGCGCCTACGGGCTCCCCAAAACTCTCGCGTTGGGCCGATGTCTCGCGGCCTTTGAGGCTCCTATCTTCTCCCGTCGGGAGGCAGCCGGAGGTTTTTCGACGTCTTATGAATCCTTTCTTGTCTGTTCACCCGCCACCCCCCCCCCCCCCCCCCCCTCCCCACGCTTTCTGATTCTCAGGCCCTTGCAACCAAACCCAATCTAAGAAACGTCGTGCTGACAGCCAAAACTGGCAAAATGCCCGAGAATCTTCGGGCTTCTGCTTCCTGAGACGCGTCACCGGTGCTCGCATGAGGCAGAGTGGGATGCGGCCCACGATGCGCTCAACGCGGCAAAGGCCCTTGGATCTTCAAAGCTTCAGGAAGTTTAGGGGTTTAGGGGACTTGGGTGTAAGGCTTCTGCAGTAGAAGCCCAAAAGTTGGAAGCCCCATAGCCTCAATCTTGAATAGTACTGTATAGGGAATTCCAGCACTACTTGGCCTTAATCCGGTTTCCAACTTTAAGGGGTTTGCTGTAAAGGTTTCGGGGCAGAAGTTCGACTTTCCGGCTGGGGCCTTCCAAGCCTCTGGGACCGGGAAACCCACTGATGTAGGAACCGGATTGAGAAACCCTGGCCCTAGTAATAGGACCACTAGGATTCATAGAAAGAAGCCACAATAAAGATCCATGATTTCTAAATTAAGTTTGGCTCCTATATTAGGCAGGATCTCAGCGCAAACTTTTGGGTTTCCGTAGGGATCCTCGAAACTCGAGACCTTGGTACAAGTCAAGAGGGCTGTGGCGACTTCCTACTGACATGCCCCTATCGCCCGCCTACGAATCATGCAATAGTATTTCCCAACAACCTGTTCTAGTCATGAAGCCCCCGGGTAGCAATAGCAAACCCCTATTCCAAAACCTGAAGAGCTCTTGTACGAATTCCTGTGACAGGAACCTTGAGCCGTAGTGGTCGGGGGTTCCCGAAACTCCCAGGACATAATAATTAGGTCAAGTAGGACCCTTGGGTATATAACTTGTATAACCTTAGTATAGCTATTATATACCGAATATCTAAGAGATAGAAGGAGGGACCCTGAATAAGGACTCTTAGGTATGGAACCTTAATATTTCTTTTGCCAGGGATCCCCATGACTCTAAGGGTCTCTCCTTTGGGCCCTTTGAGAAGCGCGGCGTCGCCAGCTTTGGAGGCGGACTCCTGGGCCAAGCGCGGCCGGCTGTCGGAAGCCCTCAGGCCGGGCTCGTGAATGGGGGGCCATTGATTTGGGGGCTATTTTAAGGGGTTCCTTGAAGGGGTCTATAGGGACTTCTATAGGGGATCTAGAGTAGGGTTCCATGGTATAGGGCCACTGATCATTACCTAGTATTTTGGGGGCTCCTTCAAAGGGTTCCTTAAACAAATCTATAGGGGATCTTTTGTAGGGTTCCATGGTATAGGGCCACTGATCATTACCTAGTATTTTGGGGGCTCCTTTAAAGGTTCCTTGAAAGGGGTCTATAGGGAATTCTATAGGGGATCAATAGCAGGGTTCCATGGTATTGGGCCCTTGATCACTACCTAGTATTTTGGGGGCTTCTTTTAAAGGGTTCCTTAAAGGGGTCTATAGGGACTTCCATAGGGGATCTATAGTAGGGTTCCATGGTGTTGGGCCAGTGATCACTACCTAGTATTTTTGATCATTACCTAATATTTTGGGGGCTCCTTCAAAGGGTTCCTTTAAGGGGTCTATAGGGGATCAAAAGTAGGGTTCCATGGTATAGGGGCATTGATCACTACCTAGTACTTTGGGGGGTTCCTTTATGTGGGAGCCTGAATAATTAACTACTCTTCTGGAGATTCCTTATTGTGTGTAGAGTATCCTGGGCCCCAAAACCCTATTCTACCTATCTGGCCCCGATTTATTTCCTCCGGGTTCCCTCAGGGTGCTTTGAAGGGACACTGTGCTGGTTACGACAAGCCTTTTACCAAGGTTCTTCCATAGGAGCCTGATCATGAGAAGATGATTTTGTCGTATGCTAAGGCATGATTCTACTGGGGACTCTGAGAGCACATTATCTGTCCCTCAGCAGGTGCAGGAATGTTATGGCCGAAGGGTACGGTATGTAAGGGATTATGAGAGTTTCGCTTGGGCCCATCAGTTGTAGGGATGGTGTTGGCGGAGGTAAGAGATCGAGAGGTTGGGACTTTGGACTCGGGCTTTTAACCTCAGCAAGAATCGTCATGGCGGCATCGACGGAGTTAGGGTTTCGGAAGTTTGGGGTCCATGAGTGAACAGGGCTTTAAGCAGCGGCTTCAAGCTTCGGGGTTGTTGATGGCCAACTACAATGCAAAGGTCATCGGATTGCGACTGTCAGCGTCGATGATAGGTTTGCAAGCTTCTGGCCCCACAAGCCTGGGGTAGGGTTTAGGTAACCGTATGCCCGCCCCCTGCAATGTTTGATTGAGCAGGCGGAAAGCAGGCGTTAAGCAAAAGCAACCTGCACCTGGTCGGGTGCAGAAACTTCTGTGGTCATGGCTGGCGTTCGAGGTCTAGGTTTCGTCAAGCTGGTGTAGTCTCTCTCAGCACGTTCCTAAGGTTCTTTGTGAGCCTTAGAACTTATTAGAAGGTTCTTCGGGGTTACGTATCTCTGCGAAGAGAGTTGTAGTTTAGGGCTCACGACTCTTACCCAAAACCCCAAACTCCAAACCCTGAACCCCAGAGCCGGGGTAAAGGATTGTCGCTTTGGGCTCAAGGGCTTCCCGTTTTCCGTTTCGGTGCGTTCAACCTGGAGCCCGCCTGTGCCAGGGAAGCAATTTCCGTCGAGCACAAGGAGGATGACCTGAATTAAGACATGACACTGAGCACGATCAGTCTAGTAAGACGACAATAGTAATAGTCATAATCATGCGAATACTACCACTGGCATTAATAATGAGAACAATCATCAAAGCAACAGTCAAACTGTAACAATATCGGTACCATCAACAGTAGTATTACCAGAAAGAACAACAATAATGCATACCTCAAGATTCCACCACCACCATCACTACTACTACGACTACGAACTATGAACTACTAAATACTAGCTACTAGCTACTAGCTACTAGCTACTACCTACTAACTACTAACTACTAACTACTAACTATAACTACTAACTACTAACTATAACTACTAGCTACTAACTACTAGCTACTAGCTACTGGCTACTAGCTACTCACTACTAACTACTAACTACTAACTACTCACTACTAACTACTAATTACTAACTACTAACTACTCACTACTAACTAC